ACAAGTCTTCTGCTTCTTCTTATCTTTTTTTTGGCCAAGGTTACTCCATAAATAGCAGGATGAAAAAACATGTTCGAGATGTTTGCTGTTCAGTAGGTGCATATATGTTAACCATATTAACAATTACACTACCCATAGTTAATATGGGTATAAATTAGTGGACTTGCGTGTCTTGAAATGATCAAACTAAAGTCTAATAGAACCATGCAGCTGCTGTTCGTGTTATTTCAATTTATCAAAACATGTTTTGGCCCATTTTGTTTCCAATGGCCATTATACACTATAACCGATTTAAAATGTGTATGGACTGGGGAAATTACATTTTTAACTGCTTCTATAGAAAAAATATTTGACAACCACTGGGTTAGAGTAAGGCTTACGTCAGCTTACTGGTCCATAATGAGAGTGAAAAGTAAGAGACGCAAACCTTTTCAGTTTGACGGTCTCCAAATCTTCATTATGTACTTTTCACTATATTTATTTTAAAAAGGCGTGTTGACCAGGCGCTAATTTCTGTGTTCGACATGCATTTGGAATGCACCTCAATTAGAGGAGCAAAATCACTAAGTTGACTATAATTAAGCAGCACATATGACAGTTTAAAAAAAGGTCACATTTGACCTGCTTTGCTCTGCGCTTCTTTGGTTGCAGCATGTCCTATTGAGGTGCATTTTAACTGCAGCCTTGTCTTCTCAAATGCTGTATTTTCGAATGAATAGCAAACACAGCGTTTGACAAGGATGCCCATTGCCTTCTTAGAAATACCTTTCCAAAAAGGACCATCTAAGAACATTTAAAAAAAAAAAGTAAATTAACCATATCTGTGTTGCAGTAAGGTGCAAATTAGTAGCCACATGGAAGCAACTTCCTTCCACCACACAGCAATATTGAAATGATTTGGTGTGACAACTTTCCTTTGCCAAGATATTGTCTGATTGTGTACCATGTGGGTTAACTGTTCATATGCAAATTTTTTTCAAATACTGTCCTGAATTATACCATTATTTTTGCATCTTTATTGTGTGCTGTTAAAAATAAAAGGAACAAATCAGTAACCACATCATCTCCGTTAAATAAATGTTTGCAAACCTGTTATGGAAGAAAAATGGAGGCTGTTGGCCTGCTGGATTAAATATTTTGAGTCACTGATCTGACACAAGTACTGATCTGCATATTTGTTCTGGGTCAACTACTCTGACAGTAGTAAACTTTTATAGTATCCTAGTGTGTTACAGGCTTACATTGACCTGTCTTTAAACACTTGGCACACCCACCTTCCTCATTGGAGGCATGATCACTAAAATATGGGGGATGTTAGAAAGGACTCTGAAAGCCATCATCTCAACAACTGCACTTGCAAACAAAGTCTTCAAAGTTCATTCTACTGCACGTTCCTATCTATGTTGGAGCCAACATTGGTCAGGAAAAAAGCCCAAGCGTCAAAAAACAAGATGTCACTTAAAAGGAGAACTATGAGGTGAGTGAAAATCACTCACCTCCTAGTTCTAGCCGACCTGTGACAATGAAACCATCACACGTCGGCTCAATAGATCGGGAAGTGAGCGAACACATACCGTTGCTCGTTCACTTCTCGATCTCAGAGAACCGTGACTGTGTCACAGTTCCCTGCAGAGATTCTCCCCCGCTCTGATCCTCCAGCGCTGACTGGAGGAACGGGTGGAGGAGGGGCGGGTACAGCTGGCTCTGCCTCTAGAGAGCCAGCCGTCACTCACGCAGCTGGGTGGATCTCGACAGCAATGTCAGGATCCGTCCCGGCTGCGGCGGTCTCAGTAAACCGAAAGCTGTAGCTCGCGATATACTAAGCTTTGGGTCACGGGAGGATGCTAGTTTATGTCCTCCCATGACCCTTAAGAGAACTTTGGGGGAAAACACTTACCCCGTAGTTCTCTTTTAAAGAGGAACTTCACTCATATCTTCAAAAACAAAAAAAGGCAACTTTGTCATTACTAAACATTTCCAATCTACAAGCATATACTTCTAAATCGTTGCCACCTTTTTATTTTTTGCACACCTTTTTCTTTTCTTCCCCAGCCTTCTCACAGTGGCCATTTTAACTAAGGGCAGGTTGCTAGATCTCCCTTTACTCCTTTAGAACTCTGGTACATGCGACTAGGACATGTGACCATGCACATCCTCTTGGGGGAGGAAAATGCCTTGGCCTGAGATCTCACGAGATTACAGATGAGATTTCCCAGCAATGCTCTGCTGATGTAACCTTCCCAGGATGCAACGCTTGGGCACGATTACATCATTTGTGCCAAATAGGACCAGAAAGTAGGAAAAAAAACATTGTAAGTAGTTAAACATACTTTTAATTTTAATAAATGTAAGATGATTTCATATCAGCATGCAGAGCTGTATGCTGATGTGATTTTTTAGTCAAAGGGGGTAAAGGTCCACTTAATCCAAGGATACCAGGAATGTTGTACAAAAAGAGCAAGGCTAGATATCCAACTCAGAACAAATAAATACACTACCCAAACACTAGTTTTAAACATGCCTTTATTGCGTGACTTTAAATTACAGTTTAAACAAAAAAAGTTAATTTCAACATAGGTAGCGTATTCTTCATTATATAAGAAGCACATGGGCACACTAGTCATTGCAAAAATATGGGGGATGACACCTTTACCCTCACATTCTAAAAAAACACTAGCTGCCTGGCTGCCACGCTGATCCTAATGCTTTAAAGCTATAGGCATCCATGGCCTAAAAGATGTAACTAGATCAAGAGTTCTAACTACACTGGCTGTATGTTTTGCCAAATTACTTGGAGAAATTAAGTCATAGGATCAGCAAGAAAACCTCATCAAAATGAGGTCACCAGTGGTAGCCTTTGGGATTTCTTTTTTTTATTTCCATGACAATCTTTTTTAACTCGCATGCATCAGCCTTCAACTGGAATATAATTTTTTTTTTTTTGGCTTAAATGACCCTTTCACAATATGTTCTCCTCCACAGGTTTTATATCTACAAATAGAATATAAATGTACTAGAATGTTTGTGGGGAACCTGATGGGACATAGTATTGGAAAATAGTTAAGACCGTTCCACTGGCAGTCTCTTCAGTTCGATACCATAATAACATCTAATATGGTGGTGTGAGCTGATTCACCGATTTTTGTCCTAGGATTTATCTGTCGTGGAGCAATCAGTTAAACTGCAGGTGACCACAAATTGTGGCAAAAACCACAATATTTTGTAGTAATGCGACTATGGTCTACTCTGGACTATCAAACCTAGCACAGGTGTCAGATTTGGCTGCTGAAGACATGTCAATTGTTTAACACATTTTTATAGTCTACAAATATGTATTCATAACACATATACTTACATTTCTTAAATAAAATGTCTACATTGAACAAAAAGTTACCTCTGTATAGCACAGACTGGAGCACCTTCCACAGCCCTTTTGCCACTGGCTGGCACTGCTATAAAACAATTTTTTTTCTGTGGAAGGAAACCTACTACTCTAGCTAGTACGGTTTACAATATAACGCCTGTCCTGTAACTAGAAAAGGGCCCACAAAGTAAGTGCAGCCTTGTATTAGGCAGAGGAATGAAGCAGAGGGCCTCTTTCAAATAAAAAGTGAAAATCAATGTGAAATGTGTATTATGAGCAAATTAAAAGGCTGACATTTTTAATAATGAAATCATTGTACATTTTAAAAAACAAATCAACTTAAGATAAAGCATAGAATAGGAAGACACCTTTTCTGCAGAACTACAAAAAAATTAAAAGAACAAAAACAAAAAACACTATCTTATAGTTCACAAGAAGGAAAAACAAGTTACAAGCAGACAGTGATTATTTTGGTCTGCATACTATGCTACAGGGTCACAACATCAGACCCAGAATACACAGAAGTTATGGATTTCTGTAGTCCTGACGTTCCTGCAAAATTGAAAGGAAAAAGAAAATGTGAATGCTTCAATGCGGGAAACAAATTCAACAAATACAAAAAAGACCACACCAAGCCTCCAGGGAATTATTTGCCATAAAAAGGGCAAAGTCAGACTGAATGATTCAAAGTTTGTTTTAAAAATAAATTTTGCCCAATGATAAAAAAAAAAAAAAATATTTGGCACCAAAACATTATCACACAAGCGAAGTCCTGTGCAATATGGGCCAAGTATCTCAAAAAAAATAAACCATGTGATGTACACCTGACCACCAGCATGGTTGCAAAAACCCCAAAAAATAATAAAAAAAAAAATCTTTCAATAGTGACATGCTTAATTTTTAAAGGATAAAAGACAAAATTGCCAGGTTCCTTAACAGGGATCCCCTGTAAATAATACCCTTTGCCTTTGAACCGATAAAGATTTCAAAATAAAAATGTAAAATGTCTGCAAATTTTGTACACTTTATTCTACATTCCTATATATTTGTAACATTTGTGGAGCTTAGATACTTGGACCATTCCCAAAACAACATGCTCCAACCCAAAGATTTCCCACACATCGGATACTAGTCTATGCCCTTGCACTGCTGTATTGTGAAAACCACAACATCTCAAGCAGATACAGAGCATAACTCCGGGAGGAAGTAAAAGGGCCCTTTTCCTTAACAGAAACAATGGGCTTTCATGCACAATGGTGAGCTCTTGCTGCAGGCTAACAACTTCATAGAAACTAGTAGGAAACCTTAAAAGAAAAAAGGTTTATACACCTATCTTTTAAATGTTTACAAATCGTAAAATGAGAAAGTAAGGAAAAACATTTATTACAGAAGACATTGCTTTGCTATCCATGGCATATAAAAGCTTGGTTTTCGAGAAAAATAATATTTAAGATGAAGTCACCTTCAGTATCTGCCACGAAAAGCAGATTTAAAAAATAAATAAATAGATGTTGTATATGCATTCTAAAAAAACACAATGCCATCTTATGACAATCACAATTCCCCACCCTCAAAAAAAGAAATAAATGTAGATAAGTCTTATAATGCCTAAAAACATCTGCAAACATTTCATGAAAGAATCAAGCAGAATTACAGGCATTAAATATTAATATTTTATACAGTCTCAACAAAAGGAGCACTGAATAATAAAAGGTTAAGCAAGAGGAAAAACAATGCAGTCTGAACTCCATTAAAAGTGAAACACTAAATATAATGGAGATGACATGGTCTTGATTGCTGAAAAAAGTTCTAGGCTCCCCACAAAAATATAGAAGCGGGTTGTCCTAGAGCCAGTACTTTTGGCATTAAAAAATAATTTACTTTTACCACTTTGCTCTTGAAGTTCTTAAACACCAAATCACCACATGACCTCAAATGGTCCAGCACAAAACTGGTAAAGTGCATGTTTTGAGCGCTCACATCACTGTGTAAGGTAATGGTTCCCAAATCAGTTTCAAATTCTGTTGGGTGTTCCATTATATACCACTGTTAGCCTGAAAAGCTCCAGTGTGAGGAAAAAGGTACACAGTGATCACCATAAAAGGTCACCCTACCTTCAAAACAGGTTGTGCGAAACACAAGTGACCTTAAAAAGAAGAAAATAAACCCTAACTGATTCAAAACCATCTGGTAATCTCCACAGAATATTTTGTAATCTATTCTTTATTTATAGAAGATGCCAAAGAGGATACAAATAAACTCAATAAGCAGAGATCTTCAAAATAACAGCCATGAAAAAGAAAACAAACAGACATGCATGTTTACATGGAAATGTTCTAAGCTGTGCACCTTGTGATTTATTTAGCATAGGGATTCAATAAATATGTCTGGGGTTTTTTGTTTTGTTTTTTTTAACAGCCACATACCCTCTTTATTTTCCCATATATTTTCTTTCAATCTTTCCAATGGTAATCCTAAAAGTGAACCTGTGCCCAGACTATGAACACTAAAGTAATGATATATTCTGAACAAGTAGTAAACTAAAGCATTTCATCCTCAAAGTGCATTTCACTCTCTGCTTAGTTCTGCTTTAAGCCTAAAGACACCTGAGAAAAGCAAAAAAAAAAAAAAAAAAAACCCAATCCCCGCCAAACAAGAACCTCTTCACGATCGCCTAAGAACACTCATGTTCATATGTAAATGCCATCATAAAAACAGACTGAATAAGACCTTTGTATCATGGAGGAGCTGACCGTGGCCCTCAGGCAACAGAATGAGAACTTCAAGAACACTTGGTACTATTGGCTGGAATTAACTTTTCCACGGAATATGGGAGCCTTCTGGGCTTCAGGTAGTTTTGGGATCTCCTTGACTGACATGGGATGCCAGACCTGGCCTTGTTGAATAGATGGGTCCACTCCTGGTAAAATGGTTGCCCATTTCTTGTGGCCTCTTCTCCAATACTGTTTTGTCCAGAGGGAAGGGGGGCAGGCCCGTGTTTTGTTGGTGGTCTGTTGTCCTCCACTCTTCCTTTTTTGGTGCTTCTTTCTCTTCTTGTCCTGTTTTTTCTACTTCTTGTTTTCCTCTTTTTTTCTCCTTTTAACTACCCTTATCCTGCCTGTTCCGTCAATAAAAGTGTAGGGTTGTTCCAGATGAAGTTACAATTTTCTCAAGGAGTGCTTCTAAATCTTAGGATTTACTTCATAGGTGGTATGGTGATAGCAATGCCAGTATTACAGAAAAGGGAAATCTGATTCCACAGGTATAGTTTAATCAAAGTATGTTTTACACTATATTATACAGATTTTGTTGAATATACCTGTGTGTTACTGTCTGAATGTTTGTGCACTTCTTTGTGGTTGTTAAAAAATTAAATAGACTGAAAACAGACTTGAGTCTTGTGATTTGTGAGAATTACTTCCCAGAACAAGCAGCCAGATTGGTTATGAATGGCTTGTTTAAAGGCTCCTTTACTATAGTCTGGACACAGGTGCACTTTAGCTTTCTGCTCCACAATAACTGTAGAAAACTTAGAGGAACTCTAGGAATTTGAAACGTTAACCATTGCAGAGGGTTAACCTTTCAAATTCCTGGAGATGTTCTTTAAAGTGTATTTCCTCTTTTGCAGCCAAATTGGGATAACACCTATTTTACATTTGTTACATGTTTCCATTCACGTTGCATAAGCTAAAAAAAAAAAAAAAGTAAAAATGCTTGCAGTTTAAACTGCCTTTATTTGGGATTCGGTTTCTACATGGCTTAAGGGTAAACATTTCTACTTTTTTGTAATGTGAGGCGGGTTTGTGAGAAATTTGTGGTAACTCTGTACTGTCCTGGTTCATTTCAATATAACTTTGTAAAGTACATTTGAACACTGCCTTTCCTATCAAAGGGTTACAGGAGTACAACCCTGGCTCCTACATGGTATGCCATTTATTGAGAGAAACACAATCCTCAAATTTCAGTTCTTAGTCTTTCTGAAAGGACAAAAATTACTGAAAAACTTTGATTTAGTCATGTTGCCTGTTGCAACAAAATATCTAAAAAAGGCAAGAACTTTTTATTTAAAAGGGTCATTAAAGCCTCAGTTGTTTTGCATTTATCTACTGCTAACAAGCAATAGATATATGCAAAAACTTGAAAAAAACAAACCCCCCAAAACCTTTCAAAAGAGGTTTAAACTTACCTGCGTCTTCGCCGCGCGCTCCCCTCCGAACATCTGAAGTTTCGGGCGGCCGCAAAGGATCTTGGGGCGGGCACATGCGCAGTTCAGATGTTCGGCCGGGAGACGAGGAGAGACAAGGTAAAGGTACCCATACACTGCACGATTCTCGTATGAGAATCGCGGGAAATCCCGCGATCGTACGAGAATCGTGCAGTGTGAATGAAGACGTGCGACCGTTTCTACTCTATGGTCGCACGTCTTTTGTCTAAGGAGCATGCTAGAAAACCAGCCGAGAATCGTACGATTTTCGGCTGGTTTTTAGCATGATCGTAAGATCAATGCCGCACGGGCCGGTGTGCACATGCGCACACTGCCCGTTCAGCATTGCGGTCATCGGAAGCCCGATCTGCCTGTCCAAGATGGGCAGATCGTACGTTTTTTAAATTACTTTACAACCATCGCAAGACTAAGGTCTTGCGATGGTTGTAAAGTGTATGGCCACCTTTAGTCTATGGAGCAGCGAGCACCCGCACAGTCACCGTGGGACATGAGAAGAGGAGGATAGGAGGAGTCAGCGCTGGATCGGAGAACCGCACCAGCGCTGGAAGGACAGCTGAAAAGGACAGTAAGGAGGAAGATCGTCCGCATACACCTGTCAGTCATCTGGCTGCTATACCCAGAGAGAAGAAGCTGATCCCACCCCCACGTTTATGCACTATAAACGTAAATACGCGTCCGGTGCCCCAGCGCGCAAAAATTACAATTGCGCTACGCGTTACATATCGCCGCAAACGTTTTTACCCGACGTGACCCCGTCTTTTATATTTTACCAAAAAATTGGGTAATAAATGTTTTATCATTTAATATAGGGCAAACTGTTTTTTTTTTTTAAATTTCGGTAATTTTTCCTTAATATAGTAAAAAAATAAAAACCCCAGTGGTGAATAAATACCACCAAAAGAAAGATCCATCTGTCCCCAAAAAAGGGTATAAAATTCATTTCAGTACAGCGCTGCATGACGGAATAAATGTCAGTCAAAGTACCGCAGCGCTGAATACTGAAAAATGGCCTGGATGGGAAGGGGGTTTAACACCGCGGATGTCAACTGGTTAAGGCAAGTCCTGACACTAACATTGGGTGGGGGAGAAATGCCTTTAATGTCACTAATTGTTTTTCTTTATACTGTGTGAAAGGGAACACATAACAGACATAGTGGGGTATAGTGGAAATACACTTAAAGGCACTTACAGTATTAGTGCTGCAGAAAATTCTTTCCCTGCAAGTAAAACATATATGGCGTTTGGCTAAATAAAAAAAAAGTGGCTGTAATTTATTACAGGGTATTTCCGACCTATAGCACCTAATCAGATTTTAACATAGTAGGTTAAGAAAAAATGAATTTTAGTGCTTGTTATAAGGCACGCAGACACTTATGTGCATGAGACCTAACTGGTGACAATAATAAACAATGTTTACAATAAAATTAACTTACCTACTTATTTTGAAATTTTTTGCTTGTACATATTCATCATCCTTTGACGAAAAGCATCAAAGTTGTCATCATTGGACTGGGGGGCTTCTTTACTTTCACCACCCAGACCCTCCCCAGCAGAGACTGCACCCCTGAGAAAGGTAACAGAAACCATTATTGATGTAAAATGATTAGACTTCTTGTATTACCGGCCATTGTCTCTTCAGCTATTACAAGCCATATGCAGCGAACTGAAAACAAAGCTGTTTAATTAGTGGAAATGTACGTCCACAAGGACTGGCCCTCTATAGAACAGTGCACTGGTTTTATTGGTGCGAAGAATCTGTTTCCTTTGGATAACAGAAGGAAAACTTTAGTAGAGTACTCACACACCCATACTGTGAACAGAGTGCACTGTCCATACCTTCCTGTTTCTATACTGAACTTTTCTTGTTTTACTGTTTTTGACCAACAACCCAGGGGGAGTTTATATTGGAGAAAAGCATCAGGCTAATATTACAAGCAAATTCTGCCTACAACTGTCTGGTATTCAGCAGTGTCACTGTCACACTTTTGTAACACAGATAGTAATACTAAGCACATTAACCCTTTAGTGACTATTGGCACCTAGGCCAAATTTAGCAGGCATGAGCGTGTCAGTTAACTACTCTCTCTCTGGTTCTCAAAGAGGGGCATTTGTTAATGTGTCTCCATAATGATGCATCATTCTGTGGATACTTTTAGATAAAGATTGTGGACGAGAAGGGGTTAATCATGACTTTTACAAAACACACACTGAATATGGCAGTCTTTTTTTTTTTAAATCTCCTTGAGCCCTTTGGATGGGTCTGGTACAGCCAAGCTTCAATGGGTTAAAACAATCCTGCAGCTATAGAGCAGTCATGAGTTTTTTTCTATTTTGTAAAAACAGGCTCATGGCTTTAATAGTGATCTGGGTGGCTGTAGAGTTATCCAGCCACTTTAACCTAACTCGCAGGTGCCCTCCCAGCGCCCTCCCTCCCCCTCGAGTGCACTAACATTAATTTTAGTGTATTTTCCTGAACATATAAAGCTTGCAAAAATATTGTATGGCATACAAAATTGCAACTACTGTTTTATTTTAGAGGGGCTCTGCTTTCAGGAAACACACAATAGTTTGGTGGTTTCATGTATCTTTCTTGGCAACCATGCAGGTTCTAACTTTTAAGCAAAAACAAAAAAAAACACTCTGGGGGTGAAGTGGGGAAAACACGGGGCATTTTGGCACCTTGGAGGAAAGGCTGACAGATACACAATCACATTAAACCTTTTTCTCTAAAACATACACTTTTATAGGGTTTTTGATTCCAGATCCACTGGATCCAAGTCCTTGACCTTCTTGCCATCCCATCTTACTCAGCATCTGAAAACCCACATTTTGCTGGGTTAACTTCTTATTAGCAAACTCTAAATCTGCTGGTTTCTGTGAAGACAAAAAAGGAGGAAAGCGTAAATTTGTGAAATATGTGCTCTTACCATGTCAGTACTGCCCACAGTACATTTGTCATTATCGCAGCAACTGCAATTTCTGTAAGGCTAGAAACGTAATCCAATAGGTAAAGTGGGACACCAATGCCTGAAAAGGATGGCTGGAAAACACGGGTGGGTGGATAACAAAACAGACCAAATCTCAAAAAGTTTTTGTAGGGATTAAGTAAGAAAAAACTGAAAAAGCGTTGTAAAATTTAAACAACAACCTCTTAAGCCTGGGTAATTCAAATAAGAAAGCAAAGTCTTATCAGTTAAAAGAGAACTGTAAGAACTCTCTATTTGTCCTGTGGAGCTGAGCTTGGAATACACAATTTCAGCAATCTGCATACAGTGTGCCATAAAGAATTCACAAGAAAACTCCATACAACAAAAATGTACTTGTACATCAATAAACCAAATCTATAATACACATACTACTACTACTGCTGCTATAAGTACCATCATTGTTGCTAAAAACAGAAAACTATCATGAGAATAAATAAAATGAAAAAGTAGATATAACTAAAGAGGAAAGCAAGTAAGCCAATACAGTCCATCAATATTCCTTCATGACTAAATTTGATTGCCTTGATATCCACGCGACAAAGTGGGGGCATTTAAAAGGACAAATGGAACACGGCGCATGCTGGGATAATGTAGTGATTCTTATTTGTACAGACGCCGAGTGAAACTTGTATGGTTTACCAGCAGTTTTGGGGCATGCACTGATTTATGGTTTTATGCATTTAGCAAAGCACATACTATGTCAGTTCTATATTAAGTCTATCACTAGGCAAGCAGTTAAATATACAGTTGAAATACACCCATGTGAACTGTCTTACCAGAGCAAGGATTTGTAATTCTGTTCAGCCACAGATTCACATACTTGTGCCAGACAGGATTGCCAGGTTGGGGACACCAGTGTTTGAGGCAAACACCAACATAAAATATCTGCATTCGCAGATGACCTGCTTTTCTTCCTAAGCGACTGCAACATCAACATCCATAATGTGGCTGTGTTAGCTACCTATGGAGAGTTTTCCAATGATACATTAACTACCAAAAGACAGAGGCCATTAATCTAACCCTGACAGACGACACCTTATGACTTAAGATGACATTTTCCTTTAAATGGTCCTCCACCCATATGAAAACATTTAGGCATTCAACTGCCAAAACCAAACACAACTTTTAACATTTACCTTATTTCCTCATCACAACTTTAAAAAATAGCATCATAAATAGATAGATTTTCATTGATGGGGAGATGCAATAAAATTAAAATACATTACCCAAAATCTTTAGCAACATCAAATGGAACCAATTTGCATTCCCTAATCCTTCAAGTCCATACAATCAATCCTCAAACAACGTAGTATGGTCCTAAATACCAGCCGCATTAAACACACAATCCTACACAGAACAAAAACTTTTGTGGAATGTTAATCCCAGACTTTAGTTCCACCAGATTGCAGCCCATTTAATGCAAGTTCTCAACAGAAATCCACAAAGTAGTGGCTCTCCATAGAACAATCCACCTCTCCAGTACCATGAAACATACTCTTGGAGCTCAGAGCTTCCATTAAACACCAGTTCTGTAAACACCTGACCATAGCTTCAAACTAACTCATGTGGACAGCACCCTTTTCTATTCATGGAATATCTACCCTCTCCCCCATCCTCGGAAACCCAAACTTTCCACAGGGCCTACACAAAAGGTGCTCCACTGTCCATGATGCAAAGTCAAATACCGAGCTCCGCACTTCATTAATGGTTGACAGCTATCCAAATGTTCCAAGACCCTGACTTTGCCCAACTAGATCCCCTAGGGATACTCCAGCTATCAAACTACCTTAAATACTTGCCCCAGGGCTTTGCAATCTGAACTTGCCACAACTTAGTTTGAATGAGAATATTTATCCACCAGTCTGGTTAAACATTCCCTCTCCTTCCTCTACAACTGGTCAGTAGACCTCTTAGGCCTCAACTTAATCCCTACAAACATAGGAAAAAGATCTCAACATACCTCTTTCACTGGTACAGAACCCCCAGCATGTTGCACTCTAGCCTTCCCTCCCAGATACCTACTTGAGATGTAGCTCCTCCTAAGGAGAAATTCTCCACATCTTTGGTCTTGTCTATTCCTCCAGACCTTCTAGGCCCAGGTCGATCACCCAAACATTTACTGGTCACCCCAAACCAAAGATTGGGCATTCTATTTTACACTATAATGTACTCAGCCCAAAACATACAAATAATCTTTCATGATCCACATGGTCATTGCAGCACACTCCTGCACCCGTGTGCTGGCAAAACCCATCTCCCCAACAACGGTTCAATTGCATTGGAAATATTCAACACATGGGAGGACCTTACTAGCTCTATCAATGGTACTCACTCAAAATTCTATACCATATGGCACTATTGGATAATTATATCCTTCACGTAACAAATGCAAACATCTCTTTTCCAACCCTGAGACCTCTGCAACAACCCACTTGTCCTCATGGGTCCCCACCCCCCCTTCCCAAAAAAAGCACACAATGTGGTCAAGCCCCTTAGTACACCCTCCTCCAATTAAAGTCCAACCTATACCCATCTCCCTTACCCTCCAAACTTGCTCTCTTCCCAGACCAACCTTCTTTAAAAACGTAAAAATATGACAGCCCTAATGCTTACCATGACCAAATCAAGCAGCACACCATGCCACTCATACAGAAAACCACATCTGACAAATGTGATAGTTCCCAAAGTCACTTTGATTCTTTGGTTTCACTCTGACCCTTTTCTATGTGCAGCGCTTCCCTGCCTGACGAGCTGTATTTGGTGAACAATGTAAACTGTCCTATGTTCAGATGTTGCTTTCAAAAAGCAAAAATGCAAAGAAAAAAAATTAAAAAACATAGGTTCTCATTACCTTTCTCCTGTTGTACCCACGACCCTTGGGACGTTCATAGTCAATACGGACTGGATCATGAACTAAAAACACAGAATTAAAATGTTAGAAAAATAAACTTTGATCCCCAATGTGGCATGCCAGAAACAGTAAAAAGGAAAGCTTATGTTTAAGTTTCTCATTTGCCATTGAACAATTGGAGAAATTAGCATATAAAATTGAAGAAAAAAAACACGGATTCCACCCACAGATTTAAAAAAAGGACAGTTTTTTCTTTAAAGCTTATAAGATCTGAATTTTGTGTATTTTTACAATCTATAATCTTTGTTTTACAGAAATATTTCACAGATGACAAGATATATCCAGAGCATTAGGGGTAAGCTAAGGAGGCAGTAGGATGCTTTCCGATTTAGATTGCAATTTTACTAAATTTTCAGTGAACCTGATGACCTGACATCTTGTGCGAGTAAGGACTTATTAACAAAAGGCATGTGCAATGTATTGTGCATTTAGTAGTGTTTCTTTAAACATCTTCATAAGGAATGAAAAATTGTGCCTATAGGGCTCTGTGTTCACTGTGGTGTAATTAAGAATTTTAATACGCATTGCACTAGCGTTCATTACCCAATGGGTTGTGGTGTGAGTGAGCCCTGAAAAGTTCAGCTAGATTTTTAGTTATATAAACAGGGGGTTCCATTCAAAGATGAAGATATTTTAAAGAATCTGTAAAATATTAGTCCAAGCACCCAATCTGGCTCAAAAGGAGAGCAAAATGTTATGAATAATTTCTTATTTACATTTTTAGTCAAGAATGAAAGGAAAAAGGAAAGAAAAAACACAAAGGCTGCTGGGGGCTACTTGGGTGACAAATTCAAAATCTGAAGAAACAGTCAGAAAGGCTATAGAAGAAAATACAGTCTTACCCTGTGGTTCATCCACAAGACACACTCTTTTGGCTGGAAGCATGCCAACCTTGAGCTTGGCCACTCTCTTACGAAGAATAGGAGGCCTAGATGGAGTGGGCATTTGGCTAAACGCAGCTACTGAAGCGCCGTCTGCACCAGAAGCTTCACCTTCATCGCCTGTCTTAACGCCCTCCAGTTCATCATCTATATCGGATGTGGCTTCCTGTTGCTCTTCCTTGAACTCCGCCAACTTACTTTTATAATATTTATATGCTGGGCTATCCTTCTCACGTAAAAACCTTGATATGGAAAAAAAAAACAAAAAACTTTAGGTCTGACAATTTGCATCCACACATTTTTTAAATTGTGCAAAAACTTTAAGGTCGTACCAAAAATCAGGGTTGTTTACGCTGTTTTGCATACTGAATTCTTCAATCTCTGGGCCCATCTGGACAACAAATTGAGCTAATTTTATGGCAGTATCTTTAGTCTTCTCATCAACTGTAAGAAAGAAGAATATAACTCAAAAGGTTAATATTAAAAGCCTATGCTTTTATTACAGAAATATAATAAATCAGATGCAACTTCTGAGTCCTGCACCAGGTCAGGTAACTGTGCTTTATTTGATATGCAAAGTTTACAAGGGAGAGTTAATTTAAAGCAAACTTGTGCAGAGAGGTACAGAGGCTGCAACAGCAGACCCTTTCATCTAAAAATATTTGTTCCATAGTTATTATTCTGGTCCAATGGCATCAGAACTTTGAGTTACTGATCTAGAACCGACATGCAGATTAGGAGCTCTGACTTCCCTGATCTGCATTCCAATTTGTGGTCAGCGTCTCAGAAAGTAATGACAAAAGAGATAGCATGAACATTTGCATTTTCTAAAAGGAGATCAGCAGTGGCAGCTTAATTAGTTCCAGTTAAGTCTGTTAAATGAGCTTCAGTAGAACACCTCTGCAGACTGGTTTGGGCATCAATGCTTGCCAGAGTGACGCTTTCTCATACATTCCAACTGAGCCAAGGTAACTTGAGAAGTCACATGAACGAGCATGGGAAGCACTCTGTGCAGTACGGGCCCTCTAGATATACACAACTTTGTGCAGGTGCATAATATTACTGAAATATCACCGACAGTGTGTCTCTAACACTAGACAAAAGTCCAAAGACCTTTAGCACTCCTTACTGGAACTCCCAAGTGTATGTAGAGGGTGCTCGCAGTGACTGTATAATCAAGTGTAGGAACGTCACCAGATTGACATCAATAAATGGATTCTCACTGACGTTTGAGTCGTTGTCGGGCTGGTGTGCTGATGACGTTCTAACACTAGACAGCCTCTAAGTTTGTGCAGCACTCCTAGCAGTTTAGCAATAGGTTTTGCAGGTCCCAGCAATTTCAAAAGTGGGTTTCAGATGAGGTGCAGTTCTTGCGTTTACAGTAACAAACCCATACAGGTAAGTAAAATTATATAAAGACACCAAATGAATATTTATAATAAACTGGTGCTTTAGAAAACCAATCAGTTCATATTTAAAATTATTTTGGAAAGTTGTACTAATTTTCACTTAAAACAAGACACTGCCTTTGTCTCAACAGTGTAAGGCCTAAATTAGCAAGACAAGTTAACTGTAATTTAAAGAATCATATAGCAATAGGCTGAGTTATATAATAAAAAAAACAAAAAAACCCCTGAAGAGTTATTATGCCAAAGTCTGAAAAAAACCTCAGAATTTGTTGTGAAAGGCTGGAAGTAAATGGGCCTAATAACCCCTTACTTTGTTTCTCCAAGAAGGAGAAAGATTCAGGGATACCTGGGTTCGATGACCCAAGAAAATGCATATTGGTGGCTTTGTGTAGGAGGGTAATGAGGATGCAATACGCTCTACTGCTACCTAGGTGTTATCACTTTAAAGATTCTGATAATAGCTTTGTGCACCAGGGTCACTGACCGCTTTTACTAGACAACTGGGAGTCTTAACGTTTCAAATATTAAAAAGGACAGCAGATGCAAAATTGCTTACTATAAATTTAACACCCTATCCGGTGTTAAATTTACACAATACATTTAATCAGTGGTGCTCATGGTCAAGCCACGAACAGCTACCTACCATCCGAAACCTGTGGTTCTTTAGAAGTCTCAGCTTTTTCATCAGATGACTGATCTTCTTTCAACAGTTTACTAGTGGCACCTGTAGAGCTTTTGCATGGTACTTCTTGTTTCTTGACGTCTACTTTCTTGGACGACTGCTTTGTTGAAGCATCCTGTGCTGGTTTGACTGAAGTCTGTTTTTTTACCTCCGAGGCCACATTCCCTTTTTTTCCCACCGGGGTTGCCACCTCCTTAACAGCTGGGGTGGTCGCTGCCTTCTTAACAGCCAGGGTGGTCGCCTCCTTTTTAACAGCCGGGGTGGCTGCCGCCTTCTTGACAGCCACAGTAGCTGCCGCCTTCTTGACAGCCACGGAAGCCGCCTCCTTCTTAACAGCCACCGCCTCCTTCTTAACAGCCGCAGTAGCCCCCGCCTCCTTCTTATTAACAGCCGCAGTAGCCGTCGCCTCCTTCTTAACAGCCGCAGTAGCCGCCGCCTCCTTCTTAACAGCCGCAGTAGCCGCCTTCTTGACAGCCGCCTTCTTGACAGCCGCAGTAGACGCCGCCACCTCCTTGATAGCCGCCGCCTCAACAGACACAGTAGACGCCGCCGCCTCGACAGACACAGTAGACGCCGCCACCTCGACAGACACAGTAGACGCCGCCACCTCGACAGACACAGTAGACGCCGCCTCCTCAACAGACACAGTAGACGCCGCCTCCTCAACAGCCGTCTCCTCCTTAACATCCAGGGTAGCTGCCTCCATCTTCACAGCTGGGGTTACAGTCTCTTTTCCAACTACTGGGGTTTTACTGTCTTCCTTCACCTCCTGGTTCACATTTTCTTTTTTGTTGTCTTCAGTTAGATTATTTTTTCCCACCTTCTGGCTCACTTTCCTTATTTTTCTGCTCGCCTTCATAGGTTTGGACAGCCGGTGAACAGTTTTTTTGCCTTGACTCCTTCTTGATAAAGTCAAACTACCAAAAAGCTTCCTCTTCACGAGCAGTGCCTTTCTTGCATATAGCATTGCCCTCACTGACTCCACAGCCAGCTCTTCAGGAGATTTCTTTGCTTTTGTGGTTTGGGCAGTTTTGGCATCCAAGTGGCCTGTAGATTTATGGAGCTGTTCCAACTTTTGTTGATAATATTTATACTCATTGCTGTTTTTATCAAATAGGAACCTTAAATAGAGAGAGAGAGAGAATATATATATATATATATATATTAGTGTTAGCAATTAATAAATGTTAATTCTACCTAGTGCCTTAGCCAAAAAAGGATACCAATTATGTACTTAATCTTATTTCCGAATTTAGATGGGAACATTTTATATGACCACATTTATTTTCTTATGAAAGACAATGTCAAATTCCAGAAACATGATTTGGTATACTTGGCTAATCTCATGTAATGACAATAACCTTGCATAGTAAAAAGTAGCATATATTAACGGACATCCTTCTGACCAATCCTCATTACAAGCAGCAACCCATTTGATACTGCTATGAACAGTATTTCCCAGGCCCTTATTACTTTAAAAAAGAAAAAAAAAAATCGGCCAGATGGTGCATATTGTGGAGAGCTTTGGCTACCCACAAGGACAGTTGAAGGGGCATATTTATAAAGCAGTGACTCCTGCATTTAAAAAAATAAATAAAAAAAAAGGGAAGGATTTAGGGCACAGTCCTCAATCTCTTTTACTGCAGCCCCAGCACTTAATGAACAGAAAACATTCAGTAGAGGCTTCCTGTTCATTTATAAATTGAGGAGATAGTAAACATATATGTCCACAATCATAAATTAACAGGAAGTGATGTAGAGCATTCCCTTCTCGTTCATAATTGGGGACGCAGTATCTGAATACTATGTCCTCAGTCATTTACAAGCAGTACTGATCACTTGGTGTTTGTTCTTCCCAGTGAAGGATCTGCAAATATTTCACATATTTACCAACTCTGCTCTCCATCCTGACTCCCCCTGGCTGTCACAGCTGATGATCTCTTCTCCCCTCTGGTGCCAGCTGCAGCGGTCTTTGTCCCCATTAATCCCCGCTGCGTAGATCAGTGGGGAGGAGGGAGCGGCGGGAGCAGAGCCAATGCAGCGGTGGCGAAGGTGTGGAAAGCGGCTGCAGGGGTCTGTGCCCCCTCCGATCCCTGCTGGGAACAGCGGGGATTAGGGGGGACTAAAGCACAGATGAACTAATGAAGAATAAGAATTGTTGACAAGGATTCTCATTATCGACAAAATAGATTTGTTTTTTTCAGCCCTAAAAACTATGAAAAGAGGTTTGGAAGGATTTTTACTTTAAGTATGGTTGCTTACATAGCTTAGAAGTTTACTAGTTCTACAGATGTTCTTTTGTATCAGATTTCTATTTACTTTTTACTATATGGTGAATGTAAAATTGTCTACCGTTGCTCAAGGCATATCTAGCAAGAGAACGTGCACAAAGGGGGAAAAAAAAGTCAGTCAGTATTTCAGTCACTAAACTCTAATCGCCTGAATTGATCACATACTTCTTATCCTTAGGAATTAATTAGCTAGATAAATGATCTGTCACCTCCTACATGAACCATCACTCTTCAGGCTGCATTTTCACTTTTCCTTCCTCAAATGATTTAGACTACAAAATAAATGGTAGACCCCCCTCATAAAAGCCACAGCAGGTGAGCAAAACTGGGACTCAGGTGCAGAGACACCATTGTAGTCCCAGAAAAATGTGATTCTGTCACTGTCAACCAAAAACTGAAAGGTTAGTCTAGTTAAAGTGAAAATGGAAATGATGACACTTTTTCACCACTAGTGCCCCCTCACTGGAAAGGATTGCAAGGCTCTCCCATTACAGCCTTGCAGCAAAGCTGTAAATGTGAAGCCCGCCATCTACAACTTTAACAAAGACGTTGCTAGACCAAAATGCTTTGCTCTGCTGCTTCTTTTAAGTTGCACATGTTTGTTGTGTCAAGCAAAGCTGGGGGACACACACCCACTAAAGCCTGATTTGTGGACAGCATTCAGGAAGAGTGTGGCAGTAGTTCTTACAGTTGCCTCCGCTGCAAAGTATTGCTTTTGGCACATTTTAGATCACTAAGATCAGTTATCTTATACTACTACTTGTAGGGCGCAATAAAGTATACAGGGAGAATCCCTGAGAAAAGATTACACAGCAGAGCCGCCGCCTTCTTAACAGCCACAGAGCAAGTTTAGAAGTTTGCTACTAAATATCGGTGAGATTACTGGAGCTGTGGTGTCATTAAAGTTAGTAAACTGCCATCTGGAAAATAAAAGGAGACACCTGCCTCCAGATATTAACCCAAGTATATATGTATAACTGAGCATTCTGGTGTTGTGGGTGACCTGAGGTGCTCTAAAAGAGTTCCAGCATTATGTCCTACTTAAGGGCCAGTTTCCATGGGCTTTGGCTGGCAAAGTATACTTGTGACATCAGTTTGAGACAGCTCTGAAGTCATTCAGTATTTATTGTAGGTGCATTTGACCTGCAGTTCACCTTGTAACTCACAATGACCCCACTACAATGTGTTTTAGCATTCTCATAAATTTGTATGGGGAGAGTTGTTCTGAAGGAAACAATAGCCCATCAACATTGGCCCTAAAAGACCAGGTAGAAGTTTACTGCCTTTCAATGACAAACCACAAAAAACAAACAAAAGAAAAAACCCATTTACTTTAGAAAGACAAAACAGTCAAACACTGAGAATACTTACTGCCCATTTAAATATTTTTGTTTTCACTTTCACTGCGTCCTTTAACATTGCAAAGTAAACCTTGACATGCAGCGCTTGACAAATTCAATCAGCTAAGAATATGATCCCATGTAATCATTCTGAAAGCTGAAGGCATTCGAGACCACACAGAAAAACACTTACCAAAATGCAGGCTTTTCTCCTTTATCTTCTTTTTTTGTATATTCCAGAAGCTTGTCTATGGTAGCAACAACATTAGGGTCAGCAGATGTTCTTGCTGTAAAAGAGAAAGAAAAGTCAGTCCCTAGAAAAGGAAACAGCAGTTAATTCATCCTACAGAACCATCATGGAGGGTACAGACAATGAACTCAATCTCTTTCAAATACGAAAAATGGCTTAGGGCTGGATTACATGGAATGGACACTGTCCTTCCTCCTGGAGGGTGGCTACCTTTGTTCCCCATGGTCCCTGTGTGTGTTGTAAAGTAACCTCCATTTGAAGCTCGCTGCCGTGATGGAATACAATTTCAATACAAAGTAGTAAACTAAATGCAAGATTGTAGTCCATCACGGGAGCAAGCTTGGGGTGGTGGCTACTTTACAACACACACAGGGACCATGGGGAAGAAAAGTAGCCACCCTCCACAAGGAAGGACAGTGTCAACACCAATTCAGAGATGATTTGAGGATCTGCATCCCAGTGATACACAAATACATTTTTGTTAATAATTAGGGTCCTTGAATGTATTTTTAAGATATAACTCCCGAGTTTAGTGTCACTTTAACAATTCCATTTTATATTTGCAGCATATTCCTTTTGGAGTTGCTAGTCGTAGTTAGTCACAATCAACTGGAGTTGTTCTGTAATGTTGCAGATGTTTTGTAGCTCACCAAGCTTTCTCAGTGTCAATGAGTTTCTGAAACATAACTCTATAAGCATTTATAGCCACCTAGCTGCTAATACATCACCTACCATGTGAGAGGGGTGATGGGTGTTTTATCTATATTTTCTACAATTACCATTGGCATTGTAGACCTTTCAAAAAGGTAATCCAATGGCATTATTATAGTTGGAGGATGGGGGGTGTAGTTGGAGTGGACCACTCTGTAACTTTTAATTTTATCTTCATAAATAGTTCTTAAGTGACAGCTGTACCTTTGGTTACAAGTTGTTCTTTAATGAATGCAACAACACCTTGAGTGCAGCCTACCTGCTCCTATACTCACCCTGGTTCTCGATCCAATGATCTTCACTGTGTGGCCCCACTGGGTGCAATACATCTTGCTTGGTCCTCTTTAGCCTGTGCATGTGTGCCATGGCCCCTATGGGGAGCCAGGTCTCTGATTGTAGTGCAGAATAGATCTTTCTCCATAAAAATGAATAGGGCTGCAATGTGAAAGTGCAGGCCGTAGAGGTGTTGGAGGATGTCTTGTGATGCAAGGCTGTGCGTCTCCTGACAGGGGGGCACAGTGAAGACCTTTGGATTAAGGATGAACAACAGCTGGACCGCACTGGGAAGGTGTGCTGAATTCATTAAAATTATAACTTTTACCAAGTACAGTTGTCCTTTAAGCTCCAGACAAAGCAATATGATGTCAGTCTCTCCTTCCCCCCTCCTCAAGAAAAAGTTTTCAATTTAACTATTTCAAGTCACAAGGACAAATGCTGCAGTAGGGGACTGTGATCTGTGCTTGATACCTTTTAAAAACTGAGAAATGCACAGACAACAGGATTTACATGTATCATCTCTGAGATGGCATCTTAGTCTGGGAAGCAGATGTAACCCCGGACGATGCATAAAACAAAGATGGTACCATTCTGAAGAGAACAGTGGATATAGGCATTGTCAGGGGAAGTACTGTGATCTCTGTGTGGTGTAATAAACACCTGTTAGTGATACACATTACTTGGCATGAAAAAACACATCTTGAGCACAGTCCATTTTAGGGACCAAGTTTAATTTTATTCAAAGCTTCGGTGAAAGACTAAGTACCGTAGTATTTTTACAAAACCAACCTTCACTCTCCGCTTCAGTTTTTGTTTCCTCTTTATTATCAACCGCAGTTTCCTTAGGTACGTTGGCTCTCGATTTCAGTGTCAACTTGTGTCCACTTTTTTTCACCCAGTCTTTCAGTTTTATAATAAATTCCCTCCCAAACAGAAAAGAGTCCTTGAAATTGGGATACTTTGAGGGCTTCAAGTCTGTTCCACTGATCCCAAGGACTTCCATTACATTGTTCTGTCTAAGAGCAGTGGCCAATGCGAATGTCTGCCCCAAAAGCACCAAGGATTTCCTGGCCATAAACATGGTGTTGTCTAGAGCGCTAAGCAGTTGTTTTGCATCGGTGAGGATGGGCTGCTTTAGCTCAAATGTATTACAGGCTAACAGCAATGGAGTTGCACATTTCAGCAATCGCTGCTGTAAAATCATCATTTCCTTGTCAAAGGGCTTGATTGCATCAAAGAAGTCATTCTTAACAGTCACCGTTTTTGTTGCCACTAACAAATCCAAAAGATCATTATCTATCTTTGGACTATTCAAGGTTGGATGACTTATAGGTTTTAGACTTGAAAAACAAAGCTCTGTATGATGGACAGACATGCGACCTTTAAAAGAGTTTACAACCATTCTGCAAGTTTCAGTCTCCACCTTGAAAAGGGCTTTGTGTTGTCTCAGAAGGTCAGAATCGCCTTTAACCTTGTTGAACTTGGCCCACATTACAATCTGTTCACTGAACTCATTTTCTCCAACTGGCATATCTTTTTTTTGAGGGCTTTGTTTTATACCAGAGGCTTCACCAGCTTTACCTGCATATCCACCACTACCAAAACGGTGCCCTCCTTGTCCTTTTGCTGCCAACATGTGCATTACTCCGCGTGTTGACTGCCCCGGTCCTGGTTCCCGAAAGACCTCTTTCCCAGGTCCCAGCTCTAAACTTTGAGAACCCCGGAACTCCCTAAACATGTCTGACCTGGGCATGCCGGGCTCTGGTCCAGATAGAGAATTACGTTCAAGTTCCCAACTCCTGCGACTAAGATCCAAATCTCGGGCTAATAATTCTTCTCTGTATAACCTTTCCTTTAAAAGTGGATCGACAGAACCCCATCTGTCCATCACTGGATCGGAATGTAATCCACCTGATGATTCCCTTCCTAATTCGCGAAAATATAAAGGATTTGAACCACTGTCTCTTCTCATTTCGATATCCCACTTTCTGCTCAAATGGTCACGTGGAAGGTCACGTGGAGGGTCACGTGGAAGGTCACGTGGAAGGTCACGTGGAAGGTCACGTGGAAGATCACGTGGAAGATCACGTGGAAGATCACGTGGAAGATCACGATAGGAAAGCCTTTCTTGGTCTCTAGAAAGCGAATCATAGCTATCCATTTTTGATGATCCGGCTGAAATATAAAAACAAAAAAACAATGCACTATTTTTAACAAAATTAGACAGACATTATCCAACTCCTTTACTTCTGCACTATAGTAAACAATAAAAGTTACTTCCAGTTAAGAAAGAATTCACTGCTGGGTAGAATACATGATACACAAATATAGAAAAATAACATCTTCGAAAGTCAGTCCATGACAAGTTTCTTTTAACAAAACCCAGCGCAGATAGCTGGCCAACTGCAAAACGTTTTTTTCAGGAGATTTTGCCCCCCACTATTTGTAATTAAAGCATAATTTGTTTGGATTTAAAAGTTAGGCTTTTTTTCCACAAGTTATTGCATTCTATGCCGTCTCCAAATACTTACCTATGATCCTTTGTCACTGCCACTGGGTCCAAGAATATCTGCACCGTAACAAGAATTTATGGGTTGTGAAGGGGGTATTGAAGGCAGTGGAGAGATAGGTTTCGGTTGCTGTCAAACTATTGGGAGAGGAGCGGGGGAGATGGAGCAGGGGCATGGCTTCCTGGGCGCTGTGAGAGTTTATGGATGCACACAGCTAGACATAGGTCCCAGGCAGGAACGCGCACGGATGTGTTGTCAGCAGGGTTAGCTAATGGAGACACCCACAAACAGATAGGGGGCAAGCCACGTGGGGACTGGTTGGCGGAGGAAGAAAACACTTTTTAAGAAAAAGCAAGATAATGTAAGTGTGGACCTCTTTAAAAATAACTTTAATATCACTTTAACCCCTTCGTGACGGGAGGGGTACACTATGTCCCACCACGAAGTGCCCAAATGACTGCTCACGTACACTGTATGTGATCAGTTATTTGCGGCTCTGTAATGCTGGTAACCGCTGAGAATCGGTTACTTATCATTAATGGATGCCTCAGTCTTGAGGCATCCATTAATGAAAGAGTTAAGCTCTTTCAGACACCCGATCCTTTTCAGGAATCGGGTGTCAGAGTGAGAGCAGAGTCACATTTGCAGCTCTTGCAGTCACTCTGACAGTGGTATAGATCCGGAAATCCTGATGTATACCGGCTTCCCCCCCCCGCCCCCCTAAACTTTCATGAATAGAAACGAAAGCTACACGTTTCTATTCCTGAAACAATATTGCAGTTTTCTGATCGTTGTTGAAACGATCAGAAAACCTTTTGTGACATCTGATCCTGAAATGCTGCAGGATCAGTGTCACTAAGGTTATTATTGGCGGTTGTTAAAAGAGAACTATGGGGTAAGTGCTTTTCCCCATAGTTCTCTTTAGGGTCACAGGACGACATATACTAGCGTCCTCCCATGACCCAAAGCTCAGTATATCACGAGCTACCGCTCATGATATACTGAGACCGCTGCAGCCGGAATGGATCCTGACATTACTGTCGAGGTCCACCCAGCTGCGTGAGTGACAGCTGGCTCTGCCTATCTAGAGGCAGAGCCAGCTGTGCCCGCCCTCTCCCCTGTCCGTTCCTCCAGTCATGATCGAGAAGTGAGCGAGCGACGGTATGTGTTCGCTCACTTCCCGATCTTTTGAGCAGACCTGTGACAGTTTCACACGTCGGCTCGAACTATGAGGATGAGTGATTTTCACTCACCTAATAGTTCTCCTTTAAGTTTGAAGCAGGCTGATAATTACATTAATTACATTTTTGGTTATCAAGCAGTAATAGTGAGATTAATTCCCAATGACTGATATAATAACATATAAAAAGCAGAAAAACAATTTTAAATAGTGAAAAGTGTAAAAATAAATAAATAAATGTAACAAAAATTATATATTTAAAATGTTATACTATGAAATATAAAAATTAACCCCTTGTAATGAAAATCTACAGCTGAGCTGCAGATTTGTTTTTCACCCTAAGGGGTTATTTATTTTTAACCCCCTCATGATTGATGTTCAAAGTATGTCGCTGTCAGTAAGTGTGACACTTAATGACAGTGACATTGTATGCCAGATGACCACTTTTAGTTTTAGCTTTTAGGAGAAAAATAAACTAAAATGTTAGGTGTTAGTTTTAGGCTGATAAGTACAGAAACATTTCTAAAATCCTATAGATATGAGGTGTTTCCAAATAAATTAATGTATTTAATGCATTTTTATTAAAAACATACTACAAATTAAAAGGAGAACTATGAGGTGAGTGCTTTTCACTCACCTCATAGTTCTAGCCGACCTGTGACAATGAGACTGTCACAGGTCGGCTCAGTAGATCGGGAGGTGAGCGAACACATACCGGCGTTCGCTCACCTTTCGATCCTGTCACAGCTCTCTGCCGTGACAGGGGAGTGGCTGTATTCCCCCCTCCCCGCTCCAATAGCGCTGACTGGCGGATCGGACGGGGAGGAGCGGGTACAGCTGGCTCTGCCTCTAGATAGGCAGAGCCAGCTGTCACTCACGCAGCTGGGCGGATCCCGGCATAATTGTCTGGATCCGCTTCAACTGCAGCGTCTCAGTATACCGCGAGCTATACTGTGGCGTCTCAGCATACCGCGAGCTGTAGCTCGCGACATACTGAGCTTAGGGTGACGGGAGGACGCTAGTTTGTGTCCTCCCGTTACCATGAGAACTATGGGGAAAAGCCTTAACCCCATAGTTCTCCTTTAAAACTGGGGGAAAAGTGTTTTTTTCCCTCAATTTTAATATTTTATTTGTCCCAAGTGAGGCGTTAGACATATGTGATATAAATATATAGCGCTATCTGCCCTCTAAAAAGCAATATATAATATGTGTGGGTGCACTTTCTAAGAATTATATTACTTATGTGGAAGTCATATATCTTGATTATCTGAACCTGCGTTTTCTATATACTTTCTCAAATATAAGTGCTGGTACTGGTATTGCTGTATTACCAGTGTTTTTTACATTGATCTCACATGGTACTCACCCTCCAACTGAAACTCTCGTATGGTATTAGCGATTGCTTGTTCCATGCTTATTCTATATCTCTTCATCTTCTCTTGTACTACAGCATCAAATGTATCCCGGGTAATTCTTTGGCTTGCCATGTTTCTGACACTGCGAATCGAAAAGATTTCATTTGTTACATATTAAGGCAGCGAGTCTGTAGTTTTATAATAAAATCTTGTTCTCTTACAGGACTAAGGGCCCATTCACAGAATAGCGTTGTGGTAACCACCTGATAACGTGCGAGTAATGCAGCATGCGTTACCATGCGCTAGGTAAATTTCTATTTACTTGAAAGCACTCTTCTTTTTTTAATGTCACTGCAAGGTATTATAGCTGCACTGTGTGACAGAGTGCAATTAACACAATGGTATAGTGTGAATGGACCTTTTATGTCAGAGCTAAGAATAATAATAATAATAATAATAAGGCTGTTACTGATTAAAATTTTCATGTTCGATTAATCAAAAAAAAATGTCATTGATTAATCGATTTCGATTAATTATAACGCACATACAGAATTCTTGTCTAAGCAACAATGGTAATGGGGACAGGGCCACACAAAGAAATTTAAAAAAAAAGGTAAATAAATAAAAAAAAAAATGAACACGTTCAGGTTTTATTGAAAGGGGAGGGTTACAAAAATGGAAAGGTGAATGTCCCCTGGAAGCTGCTCTTTTCCGTGTGTATATGGGCCAGTTGGTTATGAAATAATCCACTCCATTTTGTCATTTGAAATCCTTTTTTCTGCGCTGGCTATACACGCTTGAAGAGCAACAGGACTGAATTTTAAAAAGCATTGCAGAACTATTTTATATAACATAGTAACAGTAAGCAACAGGGTCATCAATACCTTTTTGTGCTTCTTCTGAGAACCTATTTGATACGGCTGATGCGTTCCAAGTACTTTCTCTCTGTGTACTTTTAAATCATGGCGCCTTGGATGCCGACTGAAAGGGACCATGAACCACATTTGATCATGCCCTCGAGCAAACTACCTCTGGATTAGAGTATACAACCTTATCAATTCCGTTAATCATCACAGTTTAAGACCAGGCTGAGGCGCTAATTTTTTAAACCAATACAAGGCATCGTAAGCAAAAAAAGAAAACTGATCTTTTTCTTTGCAATGGTAAAACCTTTGCAGAAGTCAAACACTGCTTAAATGGAACCATGAAAATTAAAAGAGAATTATGAGGTGAGTGATTTTCACTCAGCCTCATAATCTGGGCGGACCTGTGACAATGAAACTGTCACAGGTCGGCTCAGTAGTTCGGGAAGTGAACGAATACATGCAGTCGCTCGTTCACTTCTCGATCTATCCCTGCAGAGAGCCGAGACTGTCACTCACGGCTCCCTGCAGGGATCCCCCCCTCCCCAATCCGCCAGAGCTGACTGGCGAAATGGGCGGGGGAGGCGGAGGGCACAGCTGCCTCTGGATAGGTAGAGCCAGCTGTCAATTCCACAGCTGGGTGGATCCAGACAGAATTGTCGGGATCCGTCCTGGCGTCTCTGTATACCGCGAGCTGTAGCTCGCGGTATACTGAGCTTTGGGACATGGGAGGACGCTAGTTTGTGTTCTCCCATGACCCTTAGGAGTACAATGGGGAAAAGCCCTGACCCCTTAGTTCTCCTTTAAGGAGCATTCTCCCAGGACACACTTTCTCAGGGTACCTTTCTTAAAATAAAATATAGATCCCTTGAAATTATATACAATTGGACGCTACTTCCACTCCATCAGGATTAAATAACCCAAGAGAGATGGGACTCACCCCCCCGCCCACCTTTCTCTTCCTTAGGTTCCCATTCACCTTTTGGTTTATACTATCTAACCCAAGCAGAGAAAATGATAAATGCCAGGTTAACACGATGCCACTGTTTATTCCACCTTCCCTGTGCAACCCTTGCATTAGGTCCTAGAATACTACCCCTATACATGCAAGCTCCCCACCTATATTAAAAATAGACCTGCTGACTTTGTATTGTTTTCATATACTGTAACCATACTTTAAAAGCCCCATTTACATTTGCGGCACATGATTTGACGCATCATGCACAGGGCAGCCCATTCATTTCAATTGCCTGCCCTGCGCTCAACAAATGCATTCATGCACATTTTGAGCTTCAAACGCTTGTCTTGCTTGGTATGTTTGGGGTGCCGTTAACAATGACTAGTACAGCAAAAGCGAGTCTTTCACATGTTTTGTGACTGTGCACACAATTTTGATTTTGTGCACCTTCACATGCTACATTAGTGTGAATTAGGTCTTAAGGTATTGCAATTAGAGCTGCAGCTAACAATTATTTTCAAAATCGATTAGTTAGCCGATTAAGTTCGATTAAAAAATAAAATAAAATACATTTTTAAAAATGGCTCCAGTGATGGGACTACTAGTTTGTATGGAGATTGTAGTCCATCACAGGAGCAAGCTTGGCGCGGTGGAAGTAAAAAAAAAAAAAGTGTGGTGTGCAATATAGTGAAATGGAAAGTGTAAAATTATACAGCAATCAATGCAGAATGGCACCAGCTATAGAGGACTACAAAACCCAGCAATAATACATTATACAGCGCAATGCAGAATACCGCCAGCTATAGAGGAATACAACAAATCCCAGCAATAGTACATTATAGCTGGCAGTATTCTGCATTGAGCTGTATAATGTACCATTGCTGGGTTTTGTAGTCCTCTATAGCTGGTGGTATTCTGCATTGCACACTGTATAATGTACTATTGCTGGGATTTGTTGTACTCCTCTAGGAGCCAGAGAATGTAAACAGTGACACCGGAAGTGATGTAATGCACATCACTTCCGGGTCCAGTGATCGGAGGAGAGAGCACTAGCTAGGAGCCTGCTGATCTCCCTCCGCTTTGTCAGGGGAGGGAGAGGGAAATCTATCCAACTGGGCCCTGAATAGTGGTAAAAACCTAAAAGAGGTTCTAACCCTTCCCCTCTGTAATAGTAAGAAGAATTTTTGCTGGGATATACACTTTAAAGCATTTTCCTCCATCTCTACTACAAGGAATATACCTATAAGGCCTTAAGATTTTATCTGCTTCCCTCCATACTTTAAAGCAGGAAAAACAATGTTCAAAATCTGGGGGGGGGAACTAGAGTAGGAAACACTCGTCTCCTGTGCTCCTGTAACCCAACATCCCTGGATTCCTGAAATAAAACACCCGAATGCCAGCCCCTAGAACCAGGTTCGGGAACCCACTCAACGTTTGAGATACACACCAAAAACACTACCTGCTTGCAACAGCAGCCCACTCAAACTCTCTTAGGGCCCATTCACACCACATCATCTCCAGACCAGACTGTTTCCAGACCCAAAATGCATCCTTATGTATCCCTATGCTATTTCTGGCCTCTGCTCACACCAGCACAATACTGTTTGTCCTATTTTGTCTGGTCTGGAATACACTGCAACTGCGGGCAGGTTCGCATCATTTTCCAGACCAGATCTGATCCGGAAAATGGTGTGAACCTGCCCTCAGACATGTGGTATCAGTCTGTGGGAGCCATCTTGAATAAGTATAAGCTATTATAAACAAACTATGTTTAGTCCCATCACTGGAGCCATTTTTTAAACTTTATTTTATTGTTTATCCGATTAACCGATTAATCGAACCTAATAATCGGCTAACTAATCGATTTTGAAAATAATCGTTAGCTGCAGCTCTAGTGTGTGCAAAACAAATAATTGTTGTGATAATTATAGCTTCAAGGAAGCTACATTTAAAATGCTTTGCTAGATATATGTAAAACATCATAATTTCCACCCATAGTTACAATGCCAGGAGCTTGGTTGCTCCTCGACAAGCTAAAAGATCTAATTGCATGGCTGGCTGTGTAATAGTTGGTGTAGTATGTTGTGTGAAGAGAGGAAGAGCTCCATTTCCCTTAGAACTAGACAAACAGGGCTTCCTGCTAATCTAATTCACAAATGGTTAATCTTCTCCCTTTCTCATAAGCCACATATCTCAGTACCTGTACCCGAGCCTCCTCGCAATACTAGTCGAGTGTTAAGTAAATCCAATAGCGATATCAGCTTTCAATCCTCCTCACTGGACCTGGTGTCCTCCCCCTCTCCGCACACTAAGCTTCTCGCGTCTGACAGCCAAGCCTTGTTGTGGGACCTCTCCCCCGCCCCCGATTATAAGACCTTCGAAGAGCCAAGTCTCATTTTGAGAACTCTGCACAGATCATGTGACCGCAAGGCAGAGGTATACACTGAAGAATTAAAGCGATACTTTACTACAGCAATCACAACACCAAACAAAATGTGATCTCTTATTAAAAGGTTGCATATTGAGAATATTTACATAGGGAGATTAGTATTGAGAATGGTGAAGTAGTTAGCTCCATCTACTAGAAAGAAACTGGGTGGAAAGTTGCCACCATAAACTATGGATAAAGGGCACCCCAGGGGGTCATTCCCTCAGCTATAGAAAAATTGATTGCTCATATAATGTGTGTGATAGTGGATCTGGGTGGCTGTAAAGCTTTTAGCAGCCTGCTTCTCCCCCTGACCCACCTCCCCACTGTGTTTTTCGGGGTCCCCCAGACCATGGCAAATAACTTCAGGATGGAGAGCAGACCAGAGAACGTCCATTCTCCGATATGCTCTGTGAGACAGGAGCATTGTACTTACAGCCTCCCTGTCTCAGCTGCACAGGAGATTGAGCACAATGCTGCAGGAGTGTGGAAATGTTAAAAAAAAATAAAAAAAACTACTTGTCCAAGGATTAAAGTGGGGGCCCAAATCTACCTGTCCTGATATAAAAGAATTTTAATCAAAACTGTATTTAACGCTCCTAGGAAGTGCTTCTCATTGGTCAACGCAATTTGCGAGTGAAATTCAAAATCCATGAAACAGGGGTGCACTGAACAGCAGTATGGGGTACAGATAGCACAGGGGCAGATTCCACAGTGTGCCATATCATGGTAGCCGGGGAGCAGCACACTCTAAAGCTGGCCATACACCTATAGATTCTCTCCAGATTGCAGATGGAGGAATCTCCCACCGGGCCAAGCTTCAGTATCTTGCTAGTCAGCCCCCCTGGCTCTCAAAATACCTGATTGGATGCAGTCATTGTTCAGGTATTTTGAGAGCCAGCGGGGGCCGACAAGCAAGATACTGAAGCTTGGCTCATTGGGAGATTCCTCCATCCACACAGTTTAGTGCAGATGGAGGAATGTGTTGTACTTTTTCCATCTGACCATAGAAAATCTGCAGATAATCTATAAGTGGCCACACGCACAATGTGCATTAAAGGGCAAGTTCACTCTCCCAAGTAATTTGGGAAAATGGAATTACCCACTCAAATTTACTCCCCCCCCTCCTTTACTTACCTTTCCACAAACGGTCCTTCCCCTCTGCCAGTACGTGTGTACTGTCTGTACCCCATACTGCTGTCCAGCGCAATCCTGTACTAAGAATTTGGAATTTCGCTCTCAAATAGCGCTGACCAATGAGAAGTGCTTCTTAAAATGTTTAAATACGGTTTTGATTAAAATAATTTGTATTATTATTATTATTATTATTAACAGGACAGGTAGATTGTCATGATGGACAAGTAGATTGGGCCACCTCTTTAGTACTTGGAAAAGTAGATTTTTTAAAAAAATATCCGCACCCCTGCTGTCACACTCATAATGTGCTATCATATTGGGGGCTTGTCAGTTAAAAAGTTATGCAAAAAAATAAAATAAAAAATGAATACATTATAAAAATGATGTCTAAACTTTGGAGCTATAAAGGGTTTTAAAGTATAGCCTATAGACAATTTTTGGTACAGTAGCTTTTTGTCATTTCATGGGCACAAGCAAATTAGAGGCTTGATATTTGAAGATTACTCAGCGCCACCATTTACATTTAAAGCAGAACTCCGGGCAAATCAATTCTTAACTGTTGCAGGGGGGCTACACCCGAATTGCAAGGGTTAAGAGACAGGTAAATCTGCTGTTCACAGGCCCACAGCAAACACTCCACATTCCAGGTATTTTTTAAATACCTGAACGCTAGCTACATACATTAGCACCATACATTAACTTTTTTTTCCTCCTTCAGCTCTGTGGACTAAATAGAAAAAAATGCTTTTTGGTGTAGGTGGGGGTATCCCTCCTCCCTGCCGGGCTATGGCATTCTGACAGCGGTGGTTGCGCTGCTGTCGGAATACCTGAACAGTGACTGCAGTTGATCAGCGTTTGGCCGAGAATTTTCAGACCCGCTCCTTCCATAAAATTTGATTGGAGAAAAAAAAATAAGAATTTTATGGAATAGGAGACTCAAATTTTGGCCTAATCAGCAGGACTCTGCTAAAATTCTAGCAGTGTACAGCCAGCTTTATAAATAGGTCTACCTATCTAGGGATGCTCCAATACTGTTTTTTCGGTACTCACCGAAATTTCCGACCGTGCTCGGTAAAGAAGCCGGAGAACAAACAGGACTGATATAATTCAGAGATTAAAACAACACTTTTTTTTAGCAGGGTATATACTTCTATACATATGGTGTGGGACATCTGCATGGCACAGACAGAGGTGTGAGATTCCTATCACTCGAAGGTGGGGCAGGTGTTTTTTTTTCCCCCACCTCTACATTTGTACTATCCTTACTGGGGATGCACCGATACCGATATTAGTATCGATATCGGTGCCGATTCCGAGTATTTAGGCAAGTACTCGTACTCGCCCAAATGCTCCGATGCCTAGCACGAGTACTTCCGGTATCAGGAAGCCGGGCAGCGCGTCATTACACGCTGCCCGGTTGAGCATGGAACCGGCATCCCGGCCAATCAGAAAGCAGGGCGTTGCGTCATTACACGGCGCCCAGCTTCCTGATTGGCCGGCCAGACGGCTGCGGCTGGGTACGGGACGAAGGCCGCGTTCTCGCTGGAGAGGCCCCGGGGGTGACAGGCTGCACATACTAAGGTAAGAGGCGGACTTTCTTGTTAATCGGGAAGCCGGGTGGCGACTCTTTACACGCTGCCCGGCTAATCAGGAAGCCAGGTGGCAAGTCATTACACGCCACCTGGCTTCCTGAATGGGACTTCCGTTACTCGGTAATTGGTGTCGGCGAGTACCGAAAAAAAATTATTGGTACTCGGTACCAAAATACCGGTATCGGTGCATCGCTAATCCTTACCCCATACTGCCGTCCAGTGCAGCCCTGCACTTTTAATTTTTTAATTCTGCTTGCATATTGCAAGAGCTCATTGGGCAGCGCGGTCATCACCTGACCTGAGAAGCGCTTCTTAGCGAGGTTAAATACAGTTTGTGTTAAATTTGTTTGTAGGACAAGTAGGATTGGCATGAGGGACAAGTAGATTGGCCCCCACTTTTGTCCTTGATCAAGTACTTTTTTTGTTTTTAAACTGTCCACACCCCTGCACAGAAGTACCACCATGCAATGGATATGACCCCAGCAAGCTAGCTGTATACTAGAAGCTGCACTTGTCGGGGCTCGTGAAGGCACCCAACAAATCAAACTCACAACATTAACACTACCTGTTGCAAACTGCAGTCCACTCAACTTCTCGATCAATAATTAACATAAAGCACGTCCAGCATCTGCATGCAAAAATGTGATGTCAGCCTTCGGCAGCCATCTTTACTAAGGGTAAGCTATTATCAATGAACGCAATCATTTTGTGAATACTACAAAATGGGTCTGCTATTGTAAGGCCTCTAGTAAGTTAAACCAAAAATACTTTGTTAGGCCGGCGGAAGTAAAAGTATGGGTTTAAAAAAAAAAAATCAATCAGCATTTCCCTTTGTCCCACACCTAAAACTCGTGCCATGACGTCACTTCCACCCATAGTCGCAATGCCAGGAGCTTGGTCGCTTCATGAGAAGCTCGGTCGGAGATCTCACTGTACGGCTGGTTGTGTGTCATTGTATATTATGTGGAGAGGAAGAGGTTCGGGGTTAAGCAAATTTGCTCATTGTTCCCTATAACTAGATAAACAGGGTACCTCACTTATAAGTTGCAAAGGGTTAATCAGCTCTTTCTCATAACACTGCAGCAGGTACTGACCTGTATCCGAGCCGCCTCAATAGCAGTCTAAAGCGAATCCAATACGAAGATCAGCATTCAATCCTCTTCACCGGATCTCGTGACTACCCTCCCCGTGCACGAAACTCCCTCCGTCCGAGAGCCAAGCCTCGTTCTGGGAACGCTATACAGACCACATGACCTTACAGGAGCCAGGCCTCAATCTAGAACCTCCCACCGATCACCTGACCGCAAAGAGCCAAGCCTCATTCTGGGACCTCCTATAGATCAGAGTTCACATGACATCAAACAGCCAATCTTCGGTCTAGGACCTCCCAGAGATCGCATGACATCAAAGAGTCAAGCTTCATTTTAGGACCTTCCAGAGATCAGGGGATTGCAAGGAGGAAGTATATAGGGGGATTTGATCAAAACTAGAACAGACAGAACCTGGAGCAGTTTCTTATAGTTAGCAATAAGGTTCTCTCTTCAGTTTGTTCAGTTAAACTTTGAAAAGATAGAAAATGATTGGTTACTATGGGCAACTGCTACAGATTCTGTCCCCTCCAGTTTTGATCAGTTCCCCCAATAGTGTAGAATGAAAGTGACACGTCTTGTGGTGCATATTATTAAAAACCAATAAAGAAAACACAGTAATGGCAGACAAAAGGCATATTAGAATATTGTCACGCTAGTCTTTTCTAAACTCCAGTTCACACCTAGGCATTTTGTTGCTTAAAGCTAAACGCAACAAGGAATCCCATTCATTACTATGGCCCCTGCTGTTCACACTTTAACATTTTGTTGCAAGCAGAAAAGCATCTGTCACTGGAAAAAGTACATGAGCTACTTTTTGGCAGATTACAGTGCATTTTGGTCCCATAGACTTCAATGGGAAACGCCTGAAAACACGTGTTTCAAGTGTTTTTGCATGTTTTGTAACAATGGTCAAGCAGATGAGACCTAGGAAGAATCCTTTTGAGGCTTTTACTGCTCATTAGTTTAATGTTAACAGTGATTGATGGCCCTAAAAGTATTGCTCACACTCTGCACGTTCACGATGATATGTAGCATGTGCAGCGTGTTGGGCGCAATCGTCGTTTTCGCACGTAGTCGCAACCGATGTATGTTTGCTTGTGTATGTGAGGGTGGAGGACCTTGAAAAATGTTTGTGTTTTTAAAAAAAATGTTTTTATTTTTGTTTTTTACACTTAACTTTATTCTTATCACATAGGGGGAATAAGAAGTTCCCTGTGTGATATCAAATTACAGTGACAGGTTCTCTTTATGGAGAAATCATGGGGTCTCTAAGACCCCTAATGTCACTTAGAGACCCCCAAAGAAGCTGATGAAGCAGAGATCTGCTTCCCCAGGTTCCCTCTGGCTTTGGAAGCCGGAGAGTGACAGCTGAATGTATGTAATAAACATCACTTCCACACTCACTGGAGAGGAGGTGGTGTACTGATCTCCCTACAATCTCCCTGCTCAAAGTCACAGTGTGGGTCCCGAGCCCGACAGAGCCCAGGATTGGCGGCGGGTAGGGGGGGCGCACAAAGGCACAACATACAAGCGATCAGGCAGCTCTGTAGCTGCCAGACCGCTTGTATGAAAACATCATCGCTGGCTGTTTAAAATTTTGACAGTTTCCCGTTTATCCGTGTGCGCCTGGCGGATACAAGGACGTTTTTAAATGCCCACCCGCATCTAGCAGGCACTGGCTGTTTATGTACGACTGGCGGGCGGCAAGTGTTTAAACAGTTGTCACTGGAACAAGTATCTCCATTGGAAGATTTCCCCTCTGTTCCTGTTCTGGTGGCAAGGATCTATCCTCATTTTAAATAATTCCTGGTGACATTGGTGATCAGGACAGTGATGATGGGCACACACCTTACAACCATCGCAAGACTCTTGTCTTGCAACGGTTGTAAGGTACTTTAAAAAAATTACAATCTGCCTATCTTGGACAGGCAGATCGTACTTGCGATGATCGCAAGCCGCGCCCCCCGCCCTTCCGACGACCGCAATGCCGAACGGGCAGTGTGCGCTTGCGCACACCGGCCCGGCCGGCTTTTATCCTACGAACATGCTACACACCCGCCGAACATCGTACGATGCTCGGCGGGTTTTCGAACATGTTCGTAAGTTAAAAGTCGTGCGACCTTACAGTAGTAGAGGTCGCACGGCTTCCACACACCTTACGATAATCGTACGATCCTGGGATTTCCTGCGATTATCGTACGATTATCGTAAGGTATGTGGGCACCGAATCTCCCTAACGGGGACACAGATAGAAATAAAAACCTTACACGTGATCTAACTCCTCACTACTCCATCCAAATATATAAAAAAGTTCAACTTCGAGCTATACTTTCTTTATTATCATATAAGACTGGAGTTCCGCTTACATATTTTTATATATGTATTTGTTATTCCATTGGAATGATGCTAAGGCTAGGTTCACACCTAGGCGATTTATCTCGCGAATTTAGTCACGCGATATCGCGCAAAACACAGATTCCTATTGAAGTCAATATAGGCTGTTCACACGTTTGCGGTATATTATGCGGACGAAATCGCCTGTCATGCAAAAAGGTGCAGGAGCAATTTCCAGCGGTTGCCGCACGGTTTGGAGACATCTCTATGCATTGAAAAGACAACCGCACAGTAGCGCAAATGAAAATGTGTGGAAACCGCTCGTCAGCTCAGTCGCCTAGTTGTGAACCTACCCTCAGGAGTTTATTTTATGTTTTGAATTATAGGTATTCACAACATTGAACCTTTTCAATTTCTGCTTTTCATATGAGAAAACATTGATAACTATAGTTGTATGCAAACAAATATGCTTACATTTTGTGTTTGCTATTATATATATTGCCATTGTAACTGGTGTTACTATTTACACGGCTTTGCTGACATTTGGGTTTGGTCCCTGTTAGGTAACAATTCTTTTATTTGGTTGCTGGGACTTTGCAGTCACGTGATCTGCAGGGTTCCACAGAGAGGCTCGCGTGCTGGAAGGTCATGTGAGCTCTAGAGCAGCCCCAGAACGAGGCTTGGCTCCCGGAAGGAAAAGGCAATCTGCACAGAGAGGACGGTTACAAGATCCAGCGAGGAGGATTACATGGTGATATCTCTGTTGGATTCACTTAACATTACCTACTATTGAGAGGTACTGACATCTACTGCCGCAGGGTCATGAGAAAGAGAGCTGGTTAACCCTTTGTGGGTATTATGTGATATTTCCTGCTTGTCTATTTATAGAGAACAATGACTTCAGTTGCTGCCCATAGCAACTAGTCAACTGTATATCAGGGGCTATACTGAGCATTTTAAAAAGGGTCTTGGGCTACCTAATTGTGACCTTTGCACTGACCGATACTTGAACATCAATTCGCAAATCTGAGATTATATATAAATTTTCCCCCCATCATTTTATCTGCTGTTCCCGATCTTCTCCCTGCAGAGAGCAGGGACTGTTAAGGTGCCCACACACCTTGCGATAATCGTGCGATAATCGCTGGAAATCCCACGATCGTACAATTAGCGCAAGGTGTGCTACTGTAAGGTCGCACGACTTTTATCTTAAGAACATGTTTGAAAACCCGCCGAGAATCGTACGATTGTCGGCGGGTGTGTGGCATGTTCGTAAGATAAATGCCGCACACTGGCCGTTCAGCATTGCGGTCAGTGGAAGACCCCCCCCAGCGGGGCGGGCTTGCGATCTTCGCAAGTACGATCTGCCTGTCCAAGATGGGCAGATCGTACGTTTTTTTAAATTACCTTACAACCATCGCAAGACAAAAGTCTTGCGATGGTTGTAAGGTGTGTGCCCAGCATTAGTCACTGCTCCCCTCAGGTATCCCCCCTTCCTCTTCCCTCTCCAGTTTCTCCACCACTTACAGGATGGACAGACAGGGGAAGGGGCAGCCACAGCTGTCCCTAGAGAGGCAGAACCAGCTGTCAATCAGCACTTTTTTCCTGTGGAGAAAATTTAGAATTTTTAGCCTTCAGGCCTAATAAAAACGTCATAAAAAAATGAGGAAAGCCTGCAATGTGAGTCATGAAAATGTGCGCACATATACATAATCACTGCACCTCTTCATTACCACAAAAAATGCAAATCATGTACAAAGGCGGAAATAGACTTTAACCACTTAAAGACCAGGGTGTTACACCCCCTTCCTGCCCAGGCCATTTTTCAGTATTCAGCGCTGCGATACTTTGACATTTATTCCGTCATGCAACGCTGTACTGAAATACATTTTATACCATTTTTGGGGGACAGATAGAGCTTTCTTTTGGTGGTATTAAGGCCTTGTTCACACCAAATGCAGACCAGATCCGGTCAGGTTTCTGCACACACAGTGTAGTGGGTTGTGCCGCGTTTTAGACTCGTTTTGGATGCGTTTTTGATGCGTTTAGGGCCGTTTTTTTTAAGTTTAACATGGACTTTCAGGCACTTGCATGCGTTTTTGCGTTTTAGATGCTTTTTTGATGCGTTCCAGAGCAGGTAAAATAGGGCTTGCCGCATTTTTTTCATCCGGTCTGGATCTGGTCTGGATCCGCACGCTGCGATGTGAACTGGAGGTCAAAATACCATAGGAATACATTGGACGCAGTTTTGATCCGGTCTGCACCTGCTCTGGTCCGGATCTGCTCCGCGCTTGGTGTGAACAAGCCCTTAATCACCACTGGGGTTTTTATTTTTTACTATATAACAAAAAAAGTACCCTAAATTTTGTAAAAAAACCTGTTTCCCTATGAAATGTCATGAAACATTTATTATCACTCCAATTTTTTGGTAAAATATAAAAGACGAGTAAATAGACACTAAAGATGGAAAGTTTCAAAAATGCACGAGCCCGCGAAATCACAGATAACAGCCACACCCAAAATTGGCCATAGGCGACGCTTTAAAAGCTTTCACCGCTCATCAGTTTAGTGTTTCAGTAATTTCAGTAAATCAGTTTAGTGTTAGTAATTAATGGCCCTAAAATTATTGCTCTCATTCCCACGTTCGCGGCGATATGTAACGTGTGGCACAATAGGCAGAATCGTCGTTTTTGCACAGTGGTGCACCCAACGCATGTTTGCATGTATGTGGGGGGGTGGGGGAGTTTTAAAAAAATTTGTTATTTTACTTTTTTTTATTTTATTTGTGACTTTTTTTTTTTTTTTAGCTTCTTTATTTGTTTATGCTTTAATAATAAAAAAAAAAAACTAATGTCACCTAGGGACCCCACCGAGAAGCTGATGAAGCAGAGATCTGCTTCATCAGCTTCTCACCGGTGTTCTGTACCGGAGAGTGACACTGAATGCAGGAAGTGATGTAATATACTTCACTTCCTGCATTCAGGGACAGAGAAGAGATCAAAGGGAGATCGTGTACGGGTCGTCTGCAGTGGAGGCAGCAGTAAGCGACTCCCAGTGCACATGTAATGACATGCAACAAGTTATGTTCGGTGCTGCAGAACTGTGAGCTCTGTCCCAAGGTGGGTGGGTCCATGACAACTTTGGCTCACTGGAAGTGAGCTAAGTGGCTCTGGCGATCAATCATGCCAAAACCTGAATAATTTCTATTGGGAACAGTGCCAGACTGTTGGTGAGTATGGTGGCAAAGTTGCTTATTTGTTTCCCCTTTCACTGGTTTGTTTATTTTTCCACTACTTTAAAGTGCAATCATTGATTTTATGATAACTAGAAAAAAGAAGAAGAATGCCTTCCCATTGTGCTCCCTGCTATAAAGGCTGGTTATGGATTCATGCATGTACCACTTTTTTCTAGTTTGACTATTTTTGGTTAGGGGGATGCACTGGGGTCCCAGCGTGCATTTTTGGTTGCTGGGCCCCCAGTGCGTCCCTGCACCTTATTAGGAGGAGTAGGCTACCTCCAGGTACACCTGCATGCAATCTATCGACTTCATTAATATGCTCACACTTGGAGACTCAGATACATAGAGTTAGGACCACACTTTGCAGAGGTGCCTTGGCGCGGCAGTGTGGCTTCTACATATTTTTGGCCAAAAGTTTGTGCAACTAAAACCTCTGATTTTAACGCATACTGTTGACAGGGCTACTTGTTTGGTTGCAGGATGGCTGGCAGGCTGAGGCTGGGGAATTTTTGTGTTTTGTATCG